CCAAAACATAAATAAATCCAAATCTATATCATCAAACATGCAAAAAACAATCTAAAATGAACAACAATTACACATAATACATGGCTCGATGCAGTTTGATGAGCTGATTCTGTATATGGTATTGGGTATGGTTGAAAGATTTTTACAGAAATAGATACAAATTACCTTTAAGACCATTTTTTAAAGCGAATCGTCATTCAAACTTTTTTTTCTATATTCTGAAATAATGATTTAGAAATGACAATTTCCTTTTTAAATTGAAAGCAACCTTCCACTGATATTAAAAAAGTTTTTATTTCATTGATCACAAACTTCCTTCAACTTTTTTACTTTTTGTGATCAATCTGTAGCGATAAATCATCTTTTTAACAAATGGATTCCGAATCATATTCTATGACTTTATTCATTCCATGAAAGTATGCAACATTTTCTGGAAATATTATTTTTTTTTCGAGTAGAATAACAGGAACTGATTTTAAAAGTACATATCTCATACAAACATAAACTGGATTGAAGAAATAGCTTATAGATTCTTGTAGACTAATACACTCAAATTTCCAGGAGATTCTCAGAATAGGTCAGAGAATATAGATGGAGTTAAAAAATTACATAAGTTTTTCAATTTATGCATACGGTTTTTTAGCGGATCTCTGGAAAACCTTTCACACAACCAAAGTTCAGATGTGATTTCTTCGACCAGTTCCACATTCTCTGACTTATTCTGAGAATCTCCTGAAAATTTGAGTTTATTTGAAATAGAAATGAGTGAAATATACGATATTTGATTTTTGACAGTAAAAGACGAAAAACAGGATTTTCGCCAATTTAGTTTTGCTGAGATTATGGTTGAGTGGAGAATGAAAGAAACATTACCACAGTGATCAGTGTAGTCGATTGTCTATGATCCACGTGTTTTTGAGATTTCCACACGTGTCTGGAACCAGACGGGCGTGTCCTCGGAAAACGTCTGTTTTTCCGGAACCAAAGGAGACGGAGGTCTGAAACTTGCTTGGTTTTGAGAAGTGATGTCCTGGCTATCGATTGGTGTTATTTGAAACCGAAGTTTATAGTGTGGTTTGGGAACGGTAAGCTTTCGAATTTTGCCTCGAATAGTACACCATGTTAAACCTTATCGGGAGCCATGACTTTTCATAGGTTTACATACCCTCACTTGCTCTGTGCAATGCTGAAAACTGCAGGTCTCTAGCTATCTTCGTTAAAAAGTTATAAAGCGTTTTTTCTTGTAAAAATTCTGATAATAATAAGAAAAGAGCTTTGTCCTAGTGGTAATACAATGATCCCAAAGAATATTTGCGTTTAAACAAGACTATCTTTTTGTTCAAGCAACATACATATAAACACTCACTTTATCGATCTCCCTATTTCTCTTCTATATTACTTTTTCCTCAATTCCAGTCCCGGACTGTCGTACTCTGCCGACAACAGTACTGGCTACTTGTCTTAAGTCCCGTACACTCTATGAAGTGAATGATTCTGAGATAATTTTCAAGTATTTTTCGTTATAAAGCACATGTTCGACATTTGCCAAAATTCTGTATTTTTTTCCATAGAGGAGCTTTCTTCGCCGTTTACATGGAATACTGTCTAAATCCACGATCAGATCAAAAGCCTACTATACAATCAAGATTAATAATATATGTTACTTTTATCGAAACCAAGACTAGATATTTCACGGAAAAAGCAACAATACACGCAAAAAAGTTAAAGAACGAAAGACACGCAGACACAAATAAAAAGGTCCAATCTAATCAATAAACTCTGAAAAACGAAACAAATAAACATAGGTACTTTTAATACAGTGATTCTAACATAATTAAGTTAATCATGTTTTAGCATTCTATGCTAAAAAGGCTCCAATTGTTCCACTCAAAAGACTTGGCACAATATTAATGACCATTTGCTTCCACCACGAATAAACGCGCGGTTGGGAAACTAAGAAAAGATATAAAAAGACCTTACAGTTTACTGGCTATTTTTTAATCATCTCTTTACCTTTAGAAACAATGTACACAACAAATTCATTACCAACCATACTTAATCGATCACCATCGTTCGAATTATTCAATGCTACCCATTTTACTGGAGTTGCACCAGTAACACCAATCGAGCCTACGATTTTTGGACCCACACAACTGAATCTCCAAAAGCATCGATCACGCTGGTTCTTACTAAATTCGTGGTTAGTATAAATCGAGATTGAATTTCTAATCGACATTTCACAGCTCTTCTTGATTCATCGTCATATGGCAAACTATCCTCAACAGGGGGATATGAATCACTGGCAAACATCTTTCTACCTTAATTTGTACAGCTGTCCATTATGCCATACCTTGTCGAAAGCCTTTTGACGCCTAAAACAACACAACTTCGACATCTTTATCTAACGTCCTATCCTCGTAAATGAATTGTACAAGATCTACTAATTGGTGAATGGTGGAGTGTTTCTTTCGAAAGCCTGATTGAAAAACCAAAAGAAGCTTATTTACTGTCAAATGTTCATAAAGTTTTTTATAAACTACTCTCTCAATGACTTTGGATAAGGCTGGCAGCAATGTAATCGAAAGTTAGTTATTAGGCAGCTTATTATCTCCACCCTTGAACACTGCGGTGACATAACCTGGCTGCATAGAATCAGGAGAGGTAGACATCAAGATTGAAGTACGGCAGATGAATGCAATATCTTCAGCGATAACTGATGAAGATTCACGCAAAACATGATTGTTGACACTTAGCGCAGCTGCTTTATTGACATCAAGACGTGACAAAAGGAAACAAGAAACGAATGAAGAAACTTCATTAAATAAACGAAGAATTGTTTTTTTTTAAAGTTTAGGTGCAGAAATTCTTGACAAAACACACAAACATTCTTCTACTTCATCATTGTTCAATTTCGTTGAATTCCATTCCTTTAAAGGAATTTCCATTAGCGCAAAATCGACCTTTTATACGGGGAACAAAATCGGTCCAAATTTTTTTTCTGAAGAGCTTATTATGTGAATCGACGGGCAGCAAAGTATCTCTTGATTCAAATCACTTTTCACATTTTGGCGCGAATAGTAGCGCGTTTTAAGTGGCGCCACTATTCGCGCCAAAATGCGAA